GGGATGGAAGGGCTAAGTGAAGGTTTTATAAGGACAGAGGAGATTTTGGCAGAAGAGAAGAGAACAATGGATAAGAAGAGACTGAAGATGAAAGAGAGAAAGGGTACTTTCTCAGAGATAGGAGAGAATGAGATCAAGGGCACAGATTGGAGGGGTTGCCCTTGGCAAGGAGAAGAGTTCTTTCTTCGCTACAGACTGGAGCAAAGGAGGAGAGAATGAGAAATGACATTTAAGAGTTTTGATATGTGAAATGGAGAAAAAGAGGAAAGTAATAAGTCTGTATTTTCTCTGACAAATTATGGGAGGCAAGGTCTTCTGCTGAGAATCTGGAGAAGGTGGGATAGGGGCTTGAGAGAGAAAAAGTTTGGAACAATGTGATAGAGTAAATCCCAGAAAAATAAAAAGATGGCATGCTGCCATGAAGCCTCAGATAAGATCAATTTGTAGTGGATCTAGTCAACACTACTGAGTAAATTATTTCCTCGAGAAATATTTAGCATGTGCTAGAAGCAGAGATGGCAGCTTGTTGGGGGTAAGTCAGGGTTGGAGTTTGATGGGGAGTGAGTGGTAATAGGACAAGGGAGCACAGGATAAACAAAGGACAGTGTATAGTTGAAATGGTCAATAATAGAGTTGAAATTAAAAAGGGAAGAAAATGAGGCCTGAACAGGGATGATATAACTGGAGGAGTGAAGAGATTGGAGGTCAAGGTGAGAACAAAAAATAGGAGGCATGAGGCAGAAAGAGTGATGGAAGAATCAGTTATAACTGAAAAAAGGAATTTCAAAGCTCAAGACCATTGAGGTGGAATGGGCATAAATGAAGGAGAAATTACAGCTGAATCAATGAAAGAGAAAGGATTTAAGTTCCTATTATGAGCCAGGCATTGTGCTAGGTACTGGGGATACAAATACAAATGTGAGACAGACCTTGCCCTCAAGATGCTTACATTCTAAGTGTGACAGACAACACATATAGGAAGGAGAATGGTAGCCAAGGAAAGGGGTTGTGATCTGGGAAGTTGCAAGAAAGGGAGTAGATCAGTAGGGCACCCAACTTTTCCACTATGGTAATATCGATTTGATTACTGTTCTAGAAACAAGGTGTGGAAAAGTATGCAGTGGCAACGACGATGACAAGGTATCTGCTATATGGCTGGATGTAAGGGAAGCATAGTCATTAGATATATGAATTAGGTGAACTTTCACTCATTCACTCAGCAGCTCAGCTCTAAGATACCAGACTGATCCACTTCCTTTTCCAATATGTCTTTGATAATGTCTTATACATCACTTCTCACATAGAAATCAATGCTGGAAGTATCATTTTACAGCAGTCTACTTATTTCTACCATGTGTCTTTCCCATTGACCTCCTATAATTTTATTTTTTTGAAATAATGAAGTTCCCTGATTCATATAGCATCACCATAAGGTAATTGGTGTTTAAAAAAAAAAGGTGGGCTTTTGCAGCAGCAACTAACTTGGAATTTCTCGAAGTTTGCCCCTTATTTCCCAAATGTAAAGCCAGCCTGACCTCCTTCTATTCAATTCTGGGCCCAGTTCACTGTCCACCAGCAGCAGTACCCTTCCAAGACTAATTGAAAGGGCTCTCTGGTCAACTGCATATTACAATCTAGGAAATGTTTGGTGTTGTTCTATCTTGTCTTTCTAGGTCAGTTTCTTTTATTGACCAAGACTTGTTATAATTAGAACAATGCCTTCAGTAAACAATTCCCTCTTCTATCTGGGATTTTATGATGGACATTTTCCATGGCACTGATGATCACCAAAAGAGTGGCCACAATGTCAAATTTTGACCTATCTACAGTGTCCCATTTATGAACAACACACTTCCTATATTTCATTTTTTCCAAATATCCTGCATATGAAAAGTATGATAGTTTTTCTATATGATTCAAGTGAGTATCTCACAAAGCCAGAATTCTGAAGACCCTTTGAAATAGAAAAAAATTTATGACCAGCAACATGAATAGCTGGTCAAGTTTATCTGCAGTGCCTAAATTGTCTTTCTGCTTTGAACACTCTGTGTGCTTCAAGATTGGCTTCCTACTCCCTGAAAATTATTGCCTTAACTACTGCCCTATTTTTTCCCCATGACCTACCTGTTTCTTTCTTTCTTACAATGTAGGATTGTTCCTGATGGGACAAGTGCTGGAAAACTAAAAGGCTCTTCTACGTGATCTATGGCCAAATAAGAAAAATTGGCCTAGCCATCCATAATGGAAAAGCAAAGTAGATCAAGATCAGGTATTTCCTAGATGATAAAAATTGTGAAGGGATCGTCAGTGTGAAATGTTTTCAAAGGAAAGAGCTCTAGGAATGAAAAATGTGGATAAAAGTATTTCTACCTTCCCATCCCCAAGTTCTAGTACTGGCATCTATTTAAAATGAGAAGTTGCCAACAAAAAAACAAGGGTAACAACTAATCATTTGCATGCTATCAAGAAATGGATATGTTTTTGATGAGTGCAGCTTGCACAAATGCCTACCCTTTTTTAATAAGGCAGTACTCATCAAATGGTATGTAACCAATGAGAATAACAGCCACAGATGAGATTATTCCCAATTCAAGAGCGAGGACCTTCTACTGAAGTTTTGTATGGGGAGCACATATGTAATCAGGATCTTTGTTTGTAGCAGCTTATTATGAAGACTGCTACAAGTTAATTGGTTAATAAATATCAAATGTTCGAGATAAGCCAGGGTAGGAGGAAAAGTGTGTCCTATGCTACAACCACATCTCCTTTAATAAAAGACAGTTTACCGGTCAGATCTGTGGAGAAGGGAAGAATTTATGACCAAACAAGAGATAGAGAATATTATGATATGCAAAATGGATAATTTTGATTACATTAAATTAAAAAGATTTTGCATAAACAAAGCCAATGCAGCCAAGATTAGAAGGGAAGTAGAAAGGTGCGAAACAATTTGTATAGCCAGTATCTCTGATAAAGGCCTCATTTCTAAAATATATAGAGAACTGAATCAAATTTAAAAGAATACAAGTCATTCCCCAATTGATAAATGATCAAAAGATACGAACAGGCAATTTTCAGATGAAGAAACTGAAGTTATCTATAGTCATATGAAAAAGTGCTCTAAAACACTATTGATTAGAGAAATGCAAATTAAAACAACTCTGAGGTTCCATCTCACACCTAATCACATTGGCTAATATGACAAAAAAGGAAAATGAATACAGATGGAAGCATTACTACTTTTTCTTTTTTTTTTTCTCTTTCTCATAGTTTTTCCCTTTTGTTCTGATTCTTCTTTCACAATATGACTAATGTAAAAATGTGTTTAATATGATTGTACATGTATAGCCTATATCAGACTGCACACCTTCTTGGAGAGGAGAGAGGGAATGGAGGGAGAAAAATATGGAACTCAAAATCTTATAAAAGTGAATGCTGAAAATGAAAAACAAATTTTAAAAAACATGTAATCCCATTCAACACCAAATAAATACCTTTATGAATTAAAAAATAATAATAAAAGACACCAGGAAAAGAGGACAAAAGAACACCAAAGAAACAACATAGAAAGAATACTGAAATTAGCTAGGTTTATTATTACTAAACATCACAAAAAAAGGATGGCCTAAAAAAAGTGCCATTTTAAAAGTCAGATATTAGAATTAAGTCACGCTTTCTTAACAATTCAATTGTTCCAAGTAATGTTAACATAATTTTTTAAAAGTCACGATACAGAAATTAATTTACTTATTCTTTTAAAGATAGTAGTGGCAAGACAGAAGGCACTTAGTTCCCTATTACATGTATCCTCTTTTAAAAACACAATTTAAGAATCTCGAGAAATTTCCCACCAAAAGGAATTTTTTTCTAAGAAAATTCTGATCTCTATGTACAGTATTATAACAAAATATGCAGAGAGCTGGAATTGTTTCTTATTTCCTGAATGTGCCAGGAACAAAATAAACCTGCCTCTGCCCAGTAAGTTCATTCAATGTAAACAGAAAAAACATCAGCATTTTTTACAACAAATACATAACTGTAAAGCACTCTCTCTGATAAGACTTCTTAAGAAATAATAAATAGTTATAAGGTTAGTGTAATCCTCATTTGATTGCTATCCCACAGTACCCCAGATTCATTAAGTTTATTCTGGCTGGGCTTATATTATTCAAGTAATAATAACAATTCACATTCATGTAATCATTAATAGTTTATAATGTGCTTCTCAAAATAACCTTAACTGAGTAAGTGTGCATTTTTCAAAACTTCATTGTAAAAAATATAAAGTAAACCATGTACATTTAGGCAAACACAGACAAAAGGGCCACTAGTGAGGCTGCTTTAGTAAAATCTTCATTCAAAGTCTATAGCATCAACATATGGGAAAAAGGAACTATCAGTAGCAGGCCCATGACTTCAGCCATAGTAGGAATACCCCAGATGGCTTATCCAAAAACTATATACCAAATAAGATGGGCTAATTTTTTTTAAAAAACAGATAATTTTAATTAAGTAAAGACTATATCCTTAATTCCTCATTCCAAAGGTAAAATGGAGGACATGAGTCCACTTGGAGGAATGTGAACTCACTATGTCCACTTTCAGTCATGCTCATGGGGCTCTAGGGCTCACAGAGGCAAATATAGCTGGTTTCATTGATTCCGATTTAAAGCCAAATTCAACAAACTAAAGAGAACAGAAGTACCCTTATTTTTACACACCATCAACTCTTAGACATTGTTGGGCCACACAAAAATCTGAGCGCACATGAATCCTCTCATTCTGGTCCCTAAATTTTCAAAGGTCTACCAACTCACTAAGAAACCTGCCGATTGTAGTACAATAATGTTATGCGGCAAATCCAAATGCACACATAGGCATCCCTCCAGCTTGAAAAACCAATCAATTAGGAGCAGCTAGGTGGCTCAGTGAATACAGTACCAGCCCTGAAGTCAGGAGGACCTGAATTCAAATCTGGCCTCAGACCAAATACTTGACATTTACTAGCTGTGTGACCCTGGACAAGTCACTTAACCCCAACTGCCTAAAAGCAAAAAAAAAACAACAAAAAACCCAATCAATTCCTAAAAATCAGTTCAGACCAGCATAGTGTCAGAGAATCTAGAAGTAAGGTATATAGCCAAGTATACTCTAGGACCCCTCACCCACCCACAGAGAATTCATCTAAGCAATTCATGTAGCAATTCCATTACCTAGAGCTATAGGCTATACTGAGCATACAAGAAATTATGGAACTATAACATGATAATCTACAACCATCAGAGGCAGGTTGTTATTTAATAACAAACTACATTTAGTCCCATAATCAAAGGAGACAAGGGAGCCCTTGAAGTTGTTTTTAACAGATAAGAGGTAAAATGAGCAGTTTTTCCTTCTGGCATACTATAAATTCAATATATTAAAAAAAATACAAAAGTTACAGTGGTTTTGTTTTTCATTCTTTCTCAATACAGAGGAGGGGAAAGGCAGAGAAGGCAGATTTTTGCTGACTGAAAAAATTTTTAATTAAAAAAATATAAAAACTTCAAGCCATATTTCAATTCCATGATAGAATATGATCTTGTTTGGGGGTCACTGCCCAGTCTGAGTGATGGCTACTCCTGATAGAGAAGGGAGTCCAAGCCAGAATCTGGATTATTGCGATGCCCAGCGGAACCAGACAAGTCAAGGTGAACATTGCATCATGAAGACCTGTTAATAAACTAGAGAAAGGATAGAAAATAGTTAGTTTTCTATTTTAGTAACAATTTTTTCCTATGGATTCAATGCTTCTTAGCAAATTGTAAAATCATAGATTATTAAAGCTAGAAGAAAGTTTAGAGATAATCTAGTCCAATCCCTGCATTGTACTGATGAGAAAACTTGAGTCCTGAGATTGGCATTTCCTAAATTTCCTGACTTGTGGTAAAACTGGAACTTGAACCAAGATCTGACTCCCAGCTTTTTCCATAATACATGCTTGACTCTTCACCAATTTAATCCATTTAGAAGTAAATAACGGGTCAACTAACAATGTTTTATATTGATAATATGTATAACACTTCATACATGTGATTATGATCTAGAAGTGTTTAAAGGTGCTCTTCTAAACTTCAGTTTCATAAAACAAAGCGTGAATTAGAGAGAAATAGAGGAAGTCATAATAAGTTCCCTAGGCTCTGGGAGACCCAAGACTTAATCACCTACAGGGCCTCCCTCCTTCCAACTATCATAAGACCAGGCCCTCTGAACACAGCAATACCACCTGCCATGAAGACCAAGCAATTGTGGGTTATTCAGAGACTTTGAGGGCCCTAGGCCCAGGGGAGGCCTTAAACCTTCTATCAATCAGTCACCTTCATTAGCAGACTTGTTCCTATTTACTGATAACCCTGGCTGGACTAATTTCTCAATGCTTAGTGTACTTTTAACCCCCTTTTCACTCTTCTCATCTCATTAATATTGGACCCCCAACTACCAAGGCACAAATACCTCATTCCAAATCCTAGCTGTCTGCTCCTTCATGGCCATCTACTTCAACTCCACCCTGCTCATGTTGTCTCCAAATCTTCCTGCCCTTTCTACTGTGTCCTCTGGAACTCATGATTTATAATTAACAAACTCCCTTTCATTTCAGATGTCCTCCTCTCTTGCTCTTTCTCTTTTCTGGTACTCACAGAGACCTGGCACTCTCTCTCCCCCGTCACAGCACTATATCGTTGGCCAGCCTTTCTAGTCCTGGTTACCCCTATTCTCACACTGCTAGTGCCAGCGGAGGAGCTGGAATATTCCTTGCTTCCCATCATCACTCCATCTAACTGACACCATTCAGCAGCTTTCCTCCTTTGAGATTCATGTCATCCAAACTGATTATCCACCCCAGATCCTGGTGGACATTATCTACTAATCTCTTGGTTTTTCTCCATCCTTTCTCAGAGTTCAGTCTCAGTCTCCTTTCCACTAACAGTTGCCCTCATACTAGGGAAGTTTGACACGCGTTCCTTCAAATAACTTCACTTTTCAGTTCTTCAATCTACTCAACTTCTCATCACTTACTCCTCCATTCCATACCCTCCTAATATCATCACCCATGATCTTCTTCTCCTTCATTCTAGTCTGATGAAGAGGTAGCCCTTCTCCTTGTCAAGGCCAGCTCCCAACATGTACATTTGCTCCTGTCCCTTCCTATCTTCCTTAGCAAACTGTTCCCACTATCATCCCTCCTCTCTCCCTATTTATGCCCTGCTTTTTTTCAGCTGTGTTCAACTCTTTGTGATCCCATTTAGGGTTTTCTTGGCAAAGATACTGGAGTGGTTTGCCATCTCTTTCTCCAGTTCATTTTACATGTGAAGAAACTGAGGCAAACAGGGTTAAGTGACTTGTTTGGGGTTACACAGCTAGTAAGAATCTGAGGTCAGATTTGAACTCAGGAAGATGAGTCTTCCTGACTTCAGGCCTGGCACTATTTCCATGCATCACCCAGCTGCCCTGCACCTATAAACAAGTCCAAATCTTCCCCATTCTTAGAATTCCCTCACTAGATCCTACCATGCCTGCTACTGACCACCTTACATCGTTACTTCCCTTCTCAGCTAAGTGCCTTGAAAAAGTGGTCTGTACTTGGTGCCTCCACTTCCTCTCTTCTAAATCCTCCATAATCTGGCTTCTAATTTCATCATTTAATTCAAACTGCTCTCTCCAAAATTACCAATAAAATCTTAATTGCCAAAGCTCCTTTTCTCAATCCTTATCCTTCTTGTCCTCTCTGAGGCTTTAGTACTGCTGATTATTTTTTCCTAAAAACACACTTCTTGGGTTTTCCTGACAATGCTCTTTTGGTTCTCCTCTTACTTTACCTTACTCCTCAGTCTCTTTTACTGGATTTTCATTCGTGTCATACTCATTAACTGTGAGTACATCAGGAGACTGTCCTGGGCCGCCTTCTCTTTTCTCTCACTTGGTTATGTCATTAACTCTCATCGGCTGAGTTATCATCTGTAATGCTGATAACTCCCGTACCCATATGTTTATAATTCTAGTTTTTCTTCTGAGATCCAGTTAGTTCTGCATCATCAACTGCCTGTTGATTGTTTACCCTCTATGTCCTATAAGCATGTCAAATTCAAAATGTCCCACACAAAACTCATTATCTTTTCCCCTAAACCCATCCCACTTCCAAAATTCACATCTATTGAAGGCATCACCACCCTTTCACTCTGCACCCTTTCACTCTGGTTTGCAACCACATCTTCAGCTCCTCTCTTACTTAGCTAATTAACTGCTAAATATGGTCATTTCTATCTTAACAACATCTCTCGAGTAAGTTTGCTTCTCTTTACTCATACTGCTACCATTCCTTGCCTGGACTGTTGCAATAGCCTCCTAATTGGTCTTTCTTCCTTCAAGTCTGTCCTCACTCCCATTCATCTTCCACATAGCTATAAAAATGATTTTCCTAAAGCATGAGTCAATTTCACACATTTCCTTTGCCCCCAGTAAATTCCAGGAGCCCCTAACTACTTCTAGGATCAAATATAAGCTTCTTTGTTTGGCATCTTTCTAATCTTCTTACTCCCCTCCGTACAGTCCATCCAAACCTGCCTACTTGTTCTTCATCCACAATGCTCTACCTCCCAGTTCTTCCTCTTTCAACTGGCTGTCTCTGATGCCTAGAATGCTCTCCTTTCTCCCTTAGGCTTCTTTTTTTGTTTTGTTTTGGAGGCAATCAGGGTTAAGTGACTCATCCAGGGTCACATAGCTAGTACATATCTGAGATAATTTTTGAACTTGGGTTCTCCTGACCCTAGGGTCAGTGCTCTATCCACTGGGCCACTTAGCTGCTCCCTACCCCCTGCTTTTTAGAATCCCTGGCTTCCTTCAAGATTCAACTCTGATATCAACCTTCTGTGAGAGTCCTTTCCCATTTTCCCCCTGCTGCCTTCTATCTACTACATTAGTATTTTGTATACGTTCATTTTTGCCCAGTCACAATGTAAGCTCCTTAAAGGTACTGTTTTCAATTTTTCTTACTCTGCTTAGCACAGTGCCCAGCAGATATTAAGCACTTAATAAATGCTTGTTGACTGATTGAATAGAAAAGTGACATCTAATTTTCCGTGTGCTCTTTCCACTAAGTATAGTATTACAACTTTAGATAAAAGAAAACAAAGCCAAAGAGATAGAACTTCAGGTGAACTTGGAATCAATTTATTTATTAAGCACCTACTATGTGCTAGGCACTATGCCAGGTTTTGAAGATACAAGTATATAGAATAAAATAGTTCCTACTTGCAATGAGCTTAGTCTACAAAAGAACAAGAGCAAGCATAGTCTTTGTTGTCTGTTAACATGATTGGTTCTATTTTGTTAGATACTAAGGATTCCATAAAAGATTTTTATCCTTCATTTGGTGTGTTTGCTAATGAATGAGTTTATATTTTAAAAATAAATGCAGTGCTCACAGTTTTAGTTTAAATAGGGAATATTTAAAAGAGCCACATCTAATTTATTTACAAGCTGATTATCTAGTTTATAAATACTGGGCATCCTTTTGTTAACTGTATTGTTAATTAGACTTTTCATCAAAGGACATGTGGTGGGGGAAGAGAGAGAAAGTAAAACTTTCATCAGTTGATGTTGCTACATCTCAGCAAGTACGCTTAAAAGGCTAAGTTGATCTTAGGTGCTCTTGTATCTCCATGAGGCTGATGGCTTTCCTTTTTATTTTTTTAATTTTATTTGTATTGATAGCCTTTGTTATCATGTCAGTTTCATTCTGACTACACCCTCCCCTGCTTCTACCACCCCATGAGCTATATTTATAACAAAGATTTAAAAAGATTAAAAAAGCAATTCAAGTAAAACCAACCCATATATCAAACACATCTAACAGTATGTTCAAAATATTCCATATCAATAGTGCCCCACCTCTACAAAGACCAGAGGGATGGGTATTTTCTCTGCTGTTGTGTGGGGCCAAGCTTAGTCATTATAGACGTAGAGTCCCTGCCCCTTCCAGAGGCCAATGAAAATATGAGGTTCTCCTGCTGGGTTGGGAAGAATGATAAGAATTCTACCTCAACTCCTACCTGCCTGAGATGACAAAGCTTAACCTTGAAGACAGTGAAGAATGGAATGGAGTGTGACCACAACAGCACCCTAGCTGGGGTCCCTTATATTGAACTTTTTCAAGGGCCATGCTAATCTGCAGGCTGAGGCATCAAGCTTCCACCTTCCACCAAGAGCCAGGGGCACTTCTATGCAAAATGGGAAAGGCCAAATGCTGATACCATCCAAGGCCTACTCTCCTCTAATTTGCTTTCATCTATTGCCCTGTTATTAATCCTTCCAACAGAGAATAAGGCAAAGTGGAGAGAAAGCCCTTTCTGGCTCAGATTGAATGGTCAGCATATAAAACAGTTATCTCTTTAAGTGGTATTTTAGATCTCCTGTTATGCATTTGAAATTGTATTAAAACCAAATAGCTATAGAACCTGTGCTAAGTCTATTTAGTTGAATGTATGAGGGGGAGATGTAAAAGAAGGGGCTATCTAGAAGGAAGTAGATCTAAATTATGGAGGGTTTGTAAAACCACTTAGAATTCTGCTAGCACAAACAGGCTGGGGTTCTGAGTCACACATTTAGTTTAACTGAGAAAGATAATCCCTTGGAGCCATACTTAGTAAGTGCAGCAGCTCCTTGGGCACTATCCCATTAAGATCCA